GGGGGTCCGGGGTGGTGTCCCCAGCCGCCGGCTTGGCACCATGAATAGCAGCAGCGCCAACATCACCTACGCCAGTCGCAAGCGGCGGAAGCCGGTGCAGAAAACGTGAGTGTCCGGAGCGCGTCCTCGGCGCGGGGGTTGGGCGCTCAGGCACGCGGGTGCGGGAGGCGGCCCCACCCCGCCCCCAAATCCCAGCGATCAGGAGGATTAGGTCCTTTCCCGACACAGCTCGTGGAATCAAGATGTAGAGAGCAGTCCAGAGAACAAGGACTTAGATTTTCTCGTTTGCAATGATTGCATTTGAAAACTGTCCTCTGTCATCAGCGCACACGCGTCCTCTCACATTTGCATCTCTGCGTTCTCTGGGTCCTAGTTTGTTGACAGCTCTGATCCTTTTGGTGCTGGTGGATTAGCTAGCATAAGCCTGCCTTGAAATCCCCTTCACTTTTAATATCTGCATAGGCTAGGTTAGAGGACAGTCTTAATTCTCATTCTTGGTAGAAAGCTTGATAGGGCGCGAAATGTTTTAGAGCTAAACACGTGCGGTCTTGAAGGAAAGGGCTGAGTGCCTCTAAAGGTATTTTTATATTCCCTCTCAACTGGCTTTCCGTTGTTGTATCCTATTTACGTTATGTAGCAATTTGTAGCATTCGACGTGACCATCTTGAGGAGTGTATAGAGAAGGTAGCAGGTAGGAGTAGGTTCAGGGGATGTTCTGTATTCAAAGCCACCTTTTGAGGAAGCTTTCTCATCACTAGTGGGGTGGTTTTAGGACCGTAAATTTAAATATTTACAAGTGGATTTATTGAGAGAGGTTTTCATTTTAGCATCCACTTCTAATTCACTTTTCCCCCATTACTGAGTTTTGGCAATTCTAATAGAGCTTTTTGTTTGTTTTGGCGAGATGGCAAATACTTTAAAATATCTTTTTTTTCCTAGGAAAAATAAATTCGTGCTTGAGACATTTCTTTCTGTGGGTTGACTGTTCTCATGTATTTATTCCAAATTAGTATTTTTGAGTTACTTTACTTCACTTACATTTTTCAAATAGTCACAAAATTTTTAAGGACGCTTAAATATCTACTCAGAGCAAGTCAGCAGTGCCAATTTGTTTAAAACTTGACCTAATTGTAACTAATGGGAATCAGAAAAATAACAGTTAAAGATTTATGTTTAAAACAAGTTACTGGTTTACACATTTCATTATTCGGGACTTTTAATTTCCTTGAAGAATTTCAGTGATCTTACTTCTTCAGACCTAGGTTCATGAATTTTGTCAATAAATAGACTGTGATTAAAATTTGAAATTTTTATAGTACAATGTGTCCGACAGGAATACTGCTGAGTCAGCAATTTTCTGCCTTGGCAATTTTGAGACATTGGTTTACAATATTTTTCATTTTGTAGAATGCTTTTATTAAAACCTGTTTGATTTGATTTTGTCCTTGATGATTAAAATTGGAGGCATCTCAGATGCCTGTCTATATATTAATGCAACAATACACTTAAGATATAATAGGGATAGCATGGTTTTTATGTGTATGGTCAGAAAACTGGAAGGTCTCCCCTGATGCTGTTTTTAAGATACTGTGTAAAACTAAGTGTGTTAGGAAAGGATCTAGATGGCTTTGTAAACAAAATTCAATGCTTTACATTTAACACTTTTTGTTTCTAACCAGTATTTTATGAAAGATCTTCCTCTTTAACATATTAGTTTCCTTTTATTTGTGTAAGATGTACCTTTGATTATTTTAGCATTTCGATATAAATCTTTGGCTTTAATATACTTGTACTTAATAATTGCTTGTAACATAACTGAAGTGTTTTCTTCATTTGCCTTTCTTTTATTTTCGTACTATCATTTTTAATCCACTCTTTACTGAGCACCATGCATTGCTTCTAATCATCAGATGCCTTAAATGTCACCAGCTTGTTACTGCCAGTATTTACATGATCAAGTGAAAGTGTTTATGTAAATTATTTTTACCTGAATGAAAGATGGTTAACTATTTAATGCAGTTAAAGTTTATTTTTGAAATTAAGTCATTAAACCTAATACTAAGCTTAATATAAATGTTTAAATTAAGCTACCCGTTTGTAGCTAATAAGACCTAAAATATGCCAATGTTGTCTGGGAAAAATACATCTTGTTTGAGCTGAAAATACTATCCAAATCTACTTAATGTTGATCACTTAAGTGATAGCCATTTTATTTTGCTTACAGAGAAAAATAGGCTGTAATATGATTAGAAGACTGTTAGAAAGAGTGGTCATTTAAATACACCATTCTGTAATATTTTGAGATAGGGTAGGTGACATAATTTTAATCTGAACTTCTTTCAGTCTTCCGTTGAATTTATTAAGAAAAATAAACTCCCCCTAGTGGCAAGCGTCACACTGAAAATTATTTTTGTAAGTAGGAAATACATTATAAATTATGTTAAATTTAATCCCACTAAAATACCTTACACATTGTGGACTCTCAGTAAATGTGTCATTTTCCTTTGAAGTCATGAAAGTTACAAAATTAACATTTTGGAAGCAACTTTGCATCTTGATTTATCCATCTTCCTACCTACAAGAAGAAATTTCAGAGATAACCTTAGAAATAAATGCTACTATAATGTTCCATACTTAGTAACTTTGATCATAATAACCTTGATTTAAAATACATATTTATATTTAATCCTATTGTTCTTTTTTGGGGGGAGATTAAAGTGTTTCTTTTTGTTTGTTTGTTTTGAGTCAAGAGGATAGTTAAAAAGCCCACTATAAAATTAAGTAGAATATTTTTTCTCTAGTGATAACAACTTTGAATATGTTTAAATAATTTTGAAGTTTTATGACTACAGAAAAAGTTATAACAGTATTTCAATTTCTAGAAAGTTAGTACTGAAGGTTGGCAAATAACAGGTGTTGAGTAAATGATATCCACACTTAGAAATGATACCAGTGGAAGTGGTGATCCGGCCACCCATCTACAGTGTCAGAACTGGAAGTAACTTTGGAGAGTTAGCAAATCCTTCAGTAAAATGCATACCGATGAAAACTTTTACTTTATTAACATTTGATATTGTTACATAACATATAAGCATTGTCTTCCTGGCCATTTATGCTAAGTTGCTGTTCATTTTGTTTAAACATCATGAGCCTCATTTAGATGAACCAACTTACTGAATTGTTTTACTTACTTTATATGCTACTTACTAAGTCTTTTATATGCAGGTAGTATAATGTCTTTTTCTAAGTAACATTGAAAATAAAATAATAGATCTTTTCAGTTATGTAATTAGGTCTTCATTATTTTTCTCAAATAGCTTTATTTAGAGAGCTTATACATAGTGATTGTGGATGCTCTTGCCCATTGGAACTGTGAAATAAAGTAGAGTGTGTCATTGCAGGTAACATCAAATAGAAAAAGAGGAAATCGCAACATTTCAATTGAGAGCCTGAATGTGAACTATTAATAAAACACAATATCTAGTTTTCCCACCACTGTAGATCTTGACCATAATACAAAACAGTCAACACCTACACTGCCACGGTCACAACGAAAACTAGCAGAACACAGCAACCTATAAACTCAGGAGGCTGCTAAAATATAAATGAGAAAAACAGAAATTCTGTTCTTTAAGTTTAGCTTACATTATCACAGAACAATCAATTCTGCTGTGAAACAGTAAGAGGCAGTATACGATTATGTTCTCAACTACAAGTACGGAAAAGTATGCTACTTCTTTGGTAAATAAACTTACGCAGTGCATGCTTATTCTTGTATTTAATTATGACAGTTACTTCAAAATAAGCACCAGACAAATTTAACAATAGTACCTTTCTACTTCCACATTTCTGTTAAACATTTTACTTTTTGCATAATGTTTTAATAAAACAAACACCACTTACACTGATACAAGCATTGTGCACAGTGCATCATTTTCTTTCATTTTTACTACAGTACTAAGGAAAGGTCACGTTATTTACATTTTACAGGTGGAGAACTGAGGTTTTGATTCAAAATTGATCTGGTAGTAAATGCAAAGACTGGGTTTGGGCATTAGATCCCAGGTTGTTTGACTATAGACCTTATGTCCTTATGAACATCACAGTCCCATCCAGCAAGCATATTCAAGGCTGCATGGAGTACACCCCTATCCTAGGGCTTTCTGTCCACTGGTTCTCCTCAATAGTGTTGTGGCAGGAAAAAGTCTTGGCCATTTCCCATACGGGATATGTCCTTGCTCATCTCCATGCTTCTATTCTTGTTCTTTCCTCTTAGCGTGTTCCCCTCCCATCTTACTGATTTCTACCTATCTACTTCCCTTTAAAACATTTTTTGGTTATCTTTATCAGCTTTATTTTGGTGTAATTTATATAAAATCAACTTCAGAGACTTAAAGTGCAGAATTTGATCTGTTTTGACCTATATATATACCCATAAAACCATCATTGCAGCAGTCGGAATAAGAAACATACCATCACCCCCAGAGGTTTTCTCAACCCCTTCACCTTCTCTCATTTCCATTTGTCCCCCTCCCCAAGCAAGCACTGGTTTGTTTTCTGTCCCTGAGTTGCTTTGCATTTTCTAGAATGTTGCCCTGTAGTATGTGCATTTTGGCTGGATTCTTTCATTCAGTGTTATCATTTTGAGATTCCTCGATGCTATATACTATGTATTGCAAGCTCAGTAGCTGCATACTTTATTTAACTTTTTACCTTTTAGGGGAGAAATTTTATTATTCTCAACCTTTTAATATTCTAACAACTATTTCAGAGAACACCCCTGAGACATGTACATTTTTATGGAATTCTTTTAAAGACAAATGCCTATGAGTGGAGTTTGGGGGTACAAAGATATGTATACTTTCAAGGTTAGCTAAATAGTACATTCTGAAAGATAATGTCAAGTTACTATACAAAGAATTTTGTGATTACATGCCCGTTGGCAAACTGTGGACTTCTTTGCAGTTTTGCTTATAAATATTATTGTCAATTTTACTGGCAAAAAGGAGAGTAGGTAACTGAATTTTTGTTGGGATTGTGCCTGTGAGTAGTAGAGAGATTGTGTGTACTTGCAGATTTTCTTCTCTAGTGTTCTTTATCAGAGT